TAGTGAATTATAGTCGAATGTTAACGTCATTAATAATTAAATCTAGCAGGTTTATCATATTGCCGTTATCTTATCTCTACTGCAGTGATCAAAAACACTAATTTTAATTAATAAGAAAAAGCAATAATTTTAACTCTTCCTGCAATTCTAACATTTTCTGCCTGATAAAATCCTAATCTTTGGATAAATGGCTTGTGATTGGTCCCTGTGACCTGCGTATGTACGTAGCCCCTGAATTAAGAATTACTGTGAGGAAAACACAGTAGAATTAACTTTCGAGCTTGCTTTTCCCCTGGGCAGATAAACGCTGCAAAACACGGCTTCTCGCGGGACGATTGACTTTCACTCTCATGCGAAGCTTAAAGCTAAGGTGCAATAAACCTTGCGAGCTTCTTAATTAATTTGACTTCTTTTGACATGACTCTTCTTAGGGCCAGAAATTACGATGTTGCAGCGTACGCAAACTGTTGTGATACGTCGACATGTGGCTGCAGATGTAGCTAGGAAATACGCTAGAAAGCATCCAGAAACGTTGTTCAAAAATCATGTTATTCAGCGAAGAATAAGGTATATTTTTATCCATTACGGGTCCTTTTAATAAGTAGAAACTGCAATCTCTCGCATGATTGCTTCTGGATATGAAAAAAATAGGTTCGTCGTCATTGCTCTAAGATGCCTGAGAAAACACAGCATACCTGATCAATTCCATCACAACAAGTGTACCGCAACGACCATCTTAGGACAATCGTGTAAATAGTGCAAGTGTTGTGTAAATCATCTACCCAAATTAAAATTACCTTACTTATTTAGCTGTGATAAGAGTAAACAAATTTGACCTGCTTGCCTAGATTCTAGAAAATAGAACAATCGAAATGGCAGTGCCTTAACTAGTAAATGTCTTATCAATTATAGCAAGTTAAAATCACAAAACATAACTGCGTCAGAGGTATAGCCTTATATGTATATAATTAAATAGGTAATAGGTAAAGTGAACCAAATAACCTAGATGGAAATGTTCTCTCGCTTTTATTTCCCCGTCAAATTGCGTAGAAATAATACAGATTAAATTATCTTTTTAGCTCTTGACTATCTGATTGAAGTCGTTGCATCTTTTCCACGGTTTCTCAATCACTGCGAAAATAGAACGAAGACGTCAGCAAACTTTTAACATTCCGCCGTCAATTACTTAAAGCTGATTAAGGATGCTCCTGCTGGAGGATTGAATTGTTCAGTTAAAGAGAGAAATGCTCGAAAATTGCTGACTTGGTTTTACTCATTTCTAGGATCCGCTTTGCTTGACAAAATGTCGCTTCCTTGTACGTTTTAAGACTGATTTTTTTTTTTGAGTTTGCGATGTTTGTATTCAACCTCCATCGGTCCTTTGTGTTATCCGTGCGCAAAATTAACAGGAATCTGGTTTTTTATTCCACGCCAAAATTCCACTGTCGGAACTGAAACAATAAAAAGATATCTGCACTGCACAGAATTTTTTCTTCTTAGAAATTCAGCCTTTACCTATGTAAATACGTTTTCTTTGCGGGCTCTTCAATTATGAACAAGCTGTATTGTTACGATTGTATTGCTACAAATTTACGAGTGAAATTTGTATTCTATGTTTATTCCTGTAATACATATTGAAGTTTATTGTAATTTAAATTCATGCCAAGCATCCCCTCAAATACTCGTTTCGCTTCAAGCATAGAAAACGGGTAGCGGAATGAGATAAAATCTACGGAGCTATGGTTTCCAGTTTCATGCGATTCTCATATATACAATCTTAGATAAATAAATATACTAAAGAATGCATGAGAGTTGACGTTATACGTTCCCTCAATCCCAACGCATTTTTGGCCCTGAAATTTAACAGTGTATTGAGCATAAATGTTCTCAGATAATGAGTGCACTGATAAGAAGTATGGTTTATCGCGAATAATTTTCCAGCAATATTTCAGTATAACGGATTATTTTCCAAGTACGCGAGAAGAAAAATTTGGTCACAGACATTCATTATCGTTAAAACCTTGTTGGAGGCATCAGATTTCAGACCTGAGAGCTTGAAATTCAATTCTTTCTTATGCAGCATTTCAACATAAACTGGAATTAAGTTAGAAAAGCTATGCCATTGCTCAGAATAATTTATTTCTCTATGGTTTAATTTGAGCCTTTCACGTGAACGCAACACCTCTCTTATCCCCCTGGCTTTCTCTCGTGCTCACCTATGGGAGGTATAGGGAAGTTTTTATCTCATGGGGACACCGAACGAACTTACGCTCGAGATCTTATCACTGATGACTGGAGATAGCAAAACTTATCGCCGCACCGAAATTGATTCATGGAGTGAGAAGTTTGGCCAAGTCCACCTTATTTAATGACTTACGGCCTATATCGATAGCGATCAATGTACTGCGAACGCACTACAATAAAACAGACAGATTTGTGAGAACATTTTGAGGACTTTATCACATCACCCTAGCTTGATATCATTAATTGATACTGCGCATTTACCACTGCAACCTCAGGCACCAAATATTTCATTATTAATTGCAGTTATCGCGTCAATTGGTTAAAAATACAATTTACAATGATATCCCTTATACGTGCGACGTCTTGAAATGTAACGGACAAAAATGCAATGAATCATGATCTTATCAACTTCATTGAGCCAATAACTGATTTATTATGTTGGTTATGGTGCTTAATTAAATTCGTTTTTCAAGTCGCATAAAAACCTAAAATATTGAACGCTTATACGCATTGAATGTCGACACTATTATTTGTGAACGAATATTTGCTTTAGGTCACTTTCACGAAACGCACAACCTTCTCTTGAAATAAAATAAATAAACCTAAAACTTGAAATCTCATTGCAAGGACCTCTCAAAAACAAAAATATATCATGTTTCTAAGAATGCCGAGCCTCGTCAGTGAGGGGAAGAGAGGGCGCTTCCCTCGCGTGTCAGGGCGAGTGTTTACCGTGGCTCAGGAAGCAGCGGTGCAGCAGGTGCAGCTCATCCGCTGCTACCGTTCGTGTCTGCTGCTCCCGCTTCTCGCCCTCGCTTCAAACTTTATTGTCACACTTGTTTGTCGTTTTTTTATTGAAGAATTTTTCCGCAACAGGTTTACATCATTTTTCATTTAACTTAAATTCGCGATGTAAATGTTTAAGTAAAAATAAAAGGAAAAAGTTCCTATATTTTGACATGCATGATTAATTTTTCAGTATTTTATGCGAGTGATATGATGGAATCTGGCTAGCTAGAATGCCCTACTTGCTTGGGTTCGATTCTGTTTACGCGGCGAGGGTTGCAGCCGTAAGCCGTGCTTGCTTATCCCTTGACCATTGTTTACATCGTTACTCAGAACCTCTTGTCTACACATTCCTGATGGATCTCTCACAGGACAATTCTTAGCATTTTCGCCTCCCGAGAGTGCGCGCCAAAAATCGAATGAAATAAAGCATTGCCTATCCATTTGCCGTTGATATCAGCTGGCATCTATTTCAGAAACAGATTCTTTCTGAAATAGATGCTAAGTGCTAAACAGACATTGCCAATTTCAGGCGTTGCAATTATGTAACGATCGTGATATATAAGATCTTTACACAAAAATAGATCTTATATACATTTACTTGTCTTCATGTAGTCGAGTAAACAAGACAAATTTTACTTGAATCAATCAACTACTGTCAAATGCAACAAGTGATAAATTGCCATCAAATATGTATGGAGTTCAGGAATACATTTTTTAAGGTTACGAACTTGCATGAAGCCCTATAAGAAATATTTAAACTCCGTTGAAATAATCCAATACTGCGAGCTCGCAACAACCTGCCGAAGAAAAGAAGGCATATATACGCGAGCCTTCTTTGATGTCGTCTTATGTACGGACTCGCTTTTTGACAGGGAAATTGACCTCAGGATCGCAATATGGGTTCAGGGAATACCGCTGTGAAGCAATAGGCAGGCAGGACTGTCGTGTGCTGGCGCGCAGCGCGTATAATCTTTCAAGCGAAAACGCGTTCGACAGGAAAAGTACGAGTATGTTCCAAATTTAAAAAGAAAGCATGTAAACGATTTGTTAAACTTCTTTTTACGCCTTTGTATGTAAAATGTTGCACCTTCGAGATAAGTTACTAATCTATTTATTTGCCGTTAAGCAAAACTTCATGATAGTCTGTAACTGTTGAAATCACACCAGACGACAGTGAGATGTCTGCAATAAAGGCATAAACCTGTCAGTATTTGAAGTTACCGTCACGCATATCATCTCTCTCAATCTCTCAGATATTACCGCAAATGTTATCTTATGAAAGATTGTAAATTTCAACTTTATTGGTCTAGAACAGGAGTGGGCAAATTTTTTCATGGCATCTCACAGTGAAACTTTACTATTATTTATTAGAGGGTACAAGCTTCGTGTAAATCAATTAACCTTTTAATGATATTAAAATATGAACTAATGATGGTTGAAATGTCTAGGTCAATTAAATAGTCCAGGCAAACTGGTCAATTAAATTCTTTAGGGCAAAGAATTCGATACAATCATCCACATAAACATGTCAATTGAATAGTAATGGCAAACAGCTCAATTAAACAGTCAGGACCAACGTTACGATTAAATGCTTGCAGGCACGCAGGTAAATTTAATAATCTACGAAACCAGTCAAGTCAATAGTTGAAAAATTCATTTAAATTAAATGCTTGCAGGCACGCATCTAAATTTAATAATCTGCGAAACCAGTCAATTGTCAATAGTTGAAAAAAAATCATTTAAATTAAATGCTTGCAGGCACGCATGTAAATTTAATAATCTACGAAACTAGTCAAGTCAATAGTTACAAAAGTCATTTAAACTAAATGCTTGCAGGTACGCAGGAAAATTTTTAATCCACGAAACCAGTCAAGTCAATAGTTGAAAAAGCATTTAAATTAAATGCTTGCAGGCACGCAGGTACATATGCACGATTGAAGGCATAACCCAATAGCCCCGCCGTACCCCACCTTTAAAGTCGTCGTATCGACCACAGGTGCGAGGAGCAACAGGTGCGTTGCACAGGACATCGGAGCTCGGCACGATGCAATCCTGCGTATTGCTGCTTCATGAAGAGCTCGAAGATTGTTGTTATTCTTAAATTACGATGCTTTGTGAAGAGTTGCAGATTTCCAAGGCACACTATAAGAAAATTTTTGTTGAACTATACACACTTCTTTGTCGTGCACAAAATAAATGTCCTACGCGAAATAGTTGAGTTAAAAATTCCTTATCCGTCCCAGATTGGTAACTTTATAAACAATTTTATTTTGGTAACTTATAAGCAGCTGGCGAATAAGTCCTAGCTTTCTCGGGTGTCAATAAAATTATGACGAAAAATTTAGCATTGCAGTCCTCGGTTCCAATTCGAGGACAAATTAGTATAGGAATTGCGTGGACGGATTATCGTCCACTTCTCACCCACCACAGTATTTCAACAGCTAACACTCAAATATTTTCCAATAATAAGATATATTTTACCGATTTGTTCGCCGAAATCTTCAACATAATAATTCGTGGTCTCCAATTAATTTTATTTTTGCTCTGTCAATTAATACTGAATTATAGAATCACAGGTTAGAAAAAAGTTGCATGTAAGAATTTTAATTCAAGTACACAGGAATATGAGGAATAAATTGCCGTCTGCAATTTATTGCTTACTCATAAATAATTTCAACTGACAGAGATTCGACTGTCTCATCTCGATTTTGGATTTGAAACTTGACATCTCGCTCCGTGATGAAGCTCACTTACATCTCTGTTGTTTGCCACAATTTGACATCATTTTCAATTCACCAATGTTATTTACATATTGTTGCCTTTTGAAAGAAAATGTATACTTGGTATTGGCAGAAAGTTTGGTAAATAAATTTGGTGCAAAACACTTGTAAGTCATGCATTCGTTCTGCGACACACCTCGCACCATGTCGTGACAAATTTCTAAATAAAATTTTGTTATAATTTAAAACATTTCGACGTCTCGTTAGTATCACTCATTTGCGAGGTGTAGAAGTCATCGTTCGCTCTCAATCATTCCAAAAATACCCAATTATTTTTTGAACATTTATTAGATAATATTCACGTCGATCAATATTATTGGAAACTACTTAAAATGGAAGTATTCTGAATCGTGATACAAATATATTTTGACAGTTCAATCTGGTTCAACTTTACAGCCACAAATGGGCTTCTTGTTGCACAAGCACTTAGTCAGGCTATATTTTTCCAAGTGAATATTATCCCAAGTTAGCGTAGGAAACGAAAGATAGGCAACTGTATTGTTTAAAAATTTCCAAATAACACCAAGCGAACTCTGAACGCGGCACTGAGCAAGTGGCACTGTCGGTCGGGGAACGTAACCGCTGACACCTTCCCTCACCACGGTCACGCAGCGACTGACTGAAGCGTGAAAGCCGCAGCAACTACTATCTCAAATCAGCTAGGAGAGCAAGAGCATCTAAGTAGAAGAAGCGACGGAAGGCCTTGATCTCGATGATTGACATCATAAACGCTTGGCATTTGTTAAAAATTGCTAAATTTTTACCAGGAAGACAGTCAAATCTATGGCTCGTTTTTCGTAAATTTAGTTATTAAAAAAACTTATTATGCATGTTTGATTTTTGAAAATTTAAACCCCTACGTTTTGAATGACTGCTTGAACGCGTTTGAATTTCATTAATAAAATTGTTTTTCGATATTTATGTAGCATCGTTTTGTACCCAATCATTATTTATTCACACCACTTACATGATATCATAAATTTCAATCCCACGAACCATTCCTTTTTTTAATTTACTTTGAAATAAATGAACGGCAAGAAACTACTCCGACAAGAAATCTTATGGAGCCGAGCAGCATCGAAGTTTGGTAGGCATAAAATATCACATTCTTGCCATAGACACGCCGCTTGCGATGCGCGCATCGCGAGATCATCTGCGCGGCGCAGGCTTGTAAAAAGCTCGCCAGCCTGCCGCCGTACATCAGTTTTTCTGACCGTGACTGCCCGTGGGGAGGCATGGGATTCTACTCACGCTATGTCAAAACACGGCCAGACCTCGCACATGTTCTTCTGCGAAGCCAGGCGTCATTATGTCATTGCTTTTTAACTCAATAACGATTATATTATTTCACAAGTTCTGTAATGTGATTTGTACGAGTATTAATGATCCTAAAATTACTGTGCTCAATTACTACAAATGTTCAGATTAAGCATTGGGGATAATTTCCGAGTGATACCATTAAAGAGAAACGAAATATCAGCGATTACGTCCAGATCTTCTGGCGCTTATGTTGTATTGATTTTCCAAATCGTTTGAATGTGAATTCATTTTAGTGAATATAGTTCAATTATACTTAGGAAGTGCGCCTCAATTTGCATGTTTTGATCCGTCGCGCAATCGGTGTAGGTTTTCACGCGCCCCTGCGTCAGCGAGCATATGTGGCGCGCGCACCCCATATAAATTCTCCACACTGCGGTCTGGCGTTCAAATCTTAAACGTGGCTGTGAAAGATTTAATATCAGGATGTGATTTGCAGAAGCGGTGCATGGGGTGAGCGCGAACAGCTCGCCCTCTAGTTTCGCTCCAATAATAATAACAATAAAACTAAAAATTTTATAAACATGCAGTTTTGTAGTGATAGTAGTGCGATGTAATTGATAAATACCACTAAACTAAACAAGAGTGTCTCGAATTATTCTGCTTACTGATGTATCTGAGGCAGGAGTTCCCTCTCGTCTCTGGGATTGACGCAAATTTCAGTCAAATATTACTTGCTTTTGCATTACAAACTTCCTGCAGAGGGGCAGATGGGGAAGGATGTTTAGATACGCATAACTTGTGCTAAAACTTAGCCGTGCTTCCTGCCTCTGGCTTATTGCTCGTCTGGGGAGAGTTTAATTATTGCCCGAGCCCTGGCCTCAAATTAACCTTATTCGAAATTATTGTAACTTCATCTTGTCTATTAAGTAAACTTATACAGTCGAATTCTCTGTGACTTGCAAACTCGTGTAGGAAATTATTAATGCCAAAAATTATAAAATATAGATTTTTAAGAATTATAGAAAAGGTTCAGCATAAACGAAAAATCATGTTGTACTAAACATTATTTTAGTTTATTTAAAGTCTATATAACGGAAGTGTCAAACCGATGTGAGTAAATTCGTTAATTGTGCCACGAACAAATAACCTCGATTGAGGTCCACGGTTCGCTTTCATCGATCAGAGTCAGTATTAGTTTGCAAAAGTTCCATTTGTTTAATTTGAGTCCATCCTCACACAAAATTAAGTCCCTCATCAATACAGAGTAATGAAAGTTAAGCAGCCATTATGGTTAATAATTCCATCGTTCGATTAGTTTGTCACACCTGGAAATTTGACCCGTCAGTTCCACCTTGTACGGAAAATTGAGGCAAAATATTACTTGGAAAAATGTCACGTGGTTATAGGCAGGGTACGAAGAGTGCAGCTTGTGTCGCCTCATTAGAGCAGCTGTTGTTGGTTTAGCGCAAAACAAAAGCTGCTGAAGAACGTTGACGTTTTTTAAACGCTTCAAGCGTGCGCACACTAGCGGAGTAGAGGCTTTAAAGACGCGTACGAGATCAATCTATTTATACGTACGTATGTCGGATACGTGCCGTGCTCGTCCAACCGAACGACAGACTTCGATGACGATAGCGATAACATAGCCGAGGCCCTGGGTACAAATCCGCTCAATCTGGGAAATGACAAGAAAAATAGACGTGTCATTTATTTGTTCTGCTTTGGGACTCATTTTTGTAGAAATACCAGAGACCGCGCTAATTCCATTTAGATTTATTTAAGTATTTCACAAGCTTCTATAAAGTTCTTGTTTTTGTGGTAACTACATGAATGAAAACATCGGAGATTTTTGTGCATTTGTGAAAAATTGCACGTTGAATCTGCGTGCTGCGTTTTTTACCTTATAAATTTACGTTATTTCGCCTATATACCACTAGAAATTACAGCTATTATTCAACTTGATTAAACATTACGCATGTTATAGAGACAAAAAGTCATCCCTTCTCATTGCTCACAAATGGCTTAGCTGTCATCTCGACTGTCTTGAAAAACATCTGCATCGGAAGTTCGGCTCCATGACCAGCGTCCTCGTAACTTCTTCATCCTCGAGTCATTACTCTCCCCTTAGATAAATTTGGTTGTGTTTACGCATACATCCATACACTTTGACGCGTTACTCGCATAGCACGCGCTCTTCTCAGTTATGCCGTGACGAGATGAAGTCGTAAAACTGACTTACGATGGCAGTTATTGAGTCGTCCGTATATATATGCCTCGTAGATCCTTCAGAGCGACTCTTGAAGCGAGCTAGTGGATTGTGGAAACAAACTATGACGAGTAAAAATACCATACAACATCTTCATTTCATTGCTGTCTTTGAATGTTTTATTGCCATCCAAAAGGCTTTCAATCAACATCTTTTTATTTGATATCCATTATGCTTTAATGTCAAGTTGAGGCAAATGTTTGTTGACTGATAGAAATTTTATTTTGAATGCTTGTGTTATGCATGCCAATATACACCATTGAATATCATACTACCTCTATTCCTCTGAATTCGTATAAATAATCAATTAATCGATAACATGTAATTCCTAAATTCTCGCGTAAGATATATCTAAGCCTATCAGTTTGTGTTTGAGGCCTGCATGGCACCACTTATACGCATAGAGGCTGTACGTTCGAGCGCATATCTACTATGCTTATCGTGTTGGGATATCATATCTCGATCTGAAATTTCAGTCTTAATGTGGGAAGTGGAAAAGATCGGAAGAAACTGAAGAAAGGATTTGAACAAAAATTTAAATTTGATATTGCAATTGTGAATATAATTCCATTTAATAAACATAAGTTTTTCATATTTTACAAAGAGAGTAAAATGGGAGTCCTGTTTTCTAAATTTGTGTCTGAATGAATCTTCATTTACTTGGATTTACTTGGAATGCATAAACTTTGTTATTATTAACGAGATACAGGATTTTGGAAATGACGGATTGAAATTCCCAAATTGGAGTAATTATCCAATTGCTCCAACGCTAAGTTACTATTATGAGTCAAAGTAAACTAAGAGCTGCTTCTCAACATGACTCACCGATAAAATAACTAGCGCAATCAATAATTTCTCTCATAGAATTTATTGCATGTTTGACTATTTTGCTCGCAAGATCCATCCCTGCCGAAATAATTAAGGGGCTAGAGTCGTAGAGTCGTACCCTGCAATAACTTTTCGACGTCAACACGAGCATCTGTATAGAAGACGTTCCTTTCAGGATACGACGTAAACGACACTGAAGGATATTTCAAGAATGAAAGTTGTGTAACTTCTCCAATAATTTGGTGACATTCTTTGTCATGTATGAGAGAGAGATAGGCATAATTAATAGGTCGTTAATCCGCTATAGACTCTTCCTATTCAGAGTATACATGCATCATCCATTATCAAAAACAATTGTTCTCAAAATCGGGTTCAAAATAATAACTGTCGGGATAGGTAATGCTTAAAATATTTATCATCAACATAAAGTTTAAGATAATGGTCACCATGCAAAATCGAATATTAGGAATTACATTATTTTGTATTTTTTTGTAATTACATTATTTTGTACTACGTAAGTTTATCCCATATCTCTGTATAAAGATAAGAGGTCATGAGAGGGCATGATCCAAGATTTGCATAGGGACATGTGGTCTATATCGTGTTATAAGGGCGTGTTATAATCTCCGTTCACAAAGATTACGCCATCATTGAATGAAAATTTGATTAGGTTTGAACCCTTGTTACCCACCGGAAATCGCCGTCTAGCATAGCTCCTCTCTAGGAAATCTTTGATGGAAATAGCATATATATGACCGCTTAATGGCCAGACATCGGCTGCTTGTATCTGTTCCTAAACTGTACGTGCAGTTACTGCTAGTATGATGCTGAAGGCTGCGCATATACTATAGGCAAAAAGTAGCGCACTGCCTCAAGTGATTTTCTCAGTCGCCTTCAGAAGGCGCGCAGTCTACCCCACATGGGCTCAGGAAGCCGCAAAACACCTGCAGTTGCCCCCAGTCCATGCTGTGGGGCGAAGGCGTCAACCAACAAGAGATGGGCGATATCCGCTTCAGTTATTCCTTACAAGGCTTTGCCGCTCCTTTAAAATACATGAAAAACCTGTAATCAATATTGTCGGGTGTCACTCAGGAGGTGGTCGACCGTCATGACGAGACGCTCTGATTTGCGGGCGGTGAAATGCCCTTTTCATTATTTAGATGCTACTATACATGAACAAAGCTGAGCATTGCCAACTTTTTAATGAAATATTTTTCGTACCGCACAAGAAAGT